TTCTTATACAATAGAGAAACTCTCCAGCTGCCCCCACCCAAAAATCATAAAATAAATACTCCAGTGTTGGATAAAAATGATTTGATGAACATCTTCCTTCCCAAGTTCCTGGAAACTCTGGAATTTAAGTGCATGAATTTGGAGGGTATAATCTGTCTGAATTTGAGATTACATGAGCAGAGCTCTATCCCCATGTCTGGCCATGGTGTCCTATGCTACTGAAAAAGTCCGCAACCTCCAGGTCTGTTAAGTCAATGGGAGTTGTTCTAATGCTATAATGTTCCAACACCTTTCCCAGGCTCTGTAATCTACCAGTGCTTCTCTTCTAAGAGCCTGCTTTGTTTCCTCCATCCACTTCTAACTTCATGCTGTCTTTCACACAGGGCTTGTCTTCTTCATTGCAGAGTTAACTCGCATTATACCTCCTATGTTGTTCAAACCCAAGTCCTGTCCACACACACAAACCTGAACTCGAATGAGGTGTTGCTTTTAACTCAAATTAGCTGGCACATCTGGAGTATGTGCTAAATCAGAGCTTTGGCATAACTCATCCACTGCTAATGCAGTCACTCTGTGTAGTAATCCAGTCACTCTGTGCAGCTTGAGTGTCATTTCTCAGAGTGGTTGCTCTCACCCTTGGTAGGCTAACTTGGGAGGAGTTAACTCAAGGATAGATGAGTTAACTCTTCAGTGAAGACATAGCCACAGACCTCCAAGCTTGAAACCAACTTTATTAATATAAGACAACCTGCCCTGCTTCCTTTAAAAAAGCTTCTTCTTCCCTTCTGTTCCAGGAAGTGTATAATGAACACTTGGAGCATGTCATCAAACAAATAATTACACCTGTTGTACAGGACCATTAGTGTACATTGATGTTATCTAAATAAAAATCTTGTGCTGGTAATACTGCGTGAACTTCTCCTGGGAAGTTGTATGGGTGGAGTTCTAGAGTGAGTCTGTTCCATATTGCTTGTCTAATTGTAATTTAGCTTGCGTTAAAGCCATATTCCTTTTTATAGCTAAGCAAAATTTCAAGTATTAAATTTGGATTTAGAATACATTTGGCAATTTCATATTCACTGATTTAAAAAAAAATCACTTCTCTACTTTGTGTCTGTTAAATACACATAGTTTGGATAGATCTAAGATTCTGATTAGAGAAAAACATGATAGTGTAAATTTTAGTTTTACAAAGTAATTCTCCCTCCTTGCTCATCTGCGATAATTGTTTTCAACTTGCCCCTCAACTCTTAGGTACTCCAAGCACACCAGGAAATGAATAGAAACCAGTTGTACAAGGCAAGAAACTCCAGGCTAGAGTTTACCTGTAACACTCGGAGCTGATAAATGTGTTAATCCTTCCACAGAAAAAATCAGCTTTCAAATTGCCCTTTCCCCATTTGAAACTGGCGCAAACTATCAGCAAGAATGCAACATGCATGTGACAATTAAACAGGCAAATCTGTTTTGCCTGTGGTTCTGTTAGGTTTCCATTTACTCCCCTGCAGTGTGGAACTAGCAACCATAATTGCATGCCTGAACCTACAAAGGGTGGCTCTTTGTGTTTGTGTGCCTGGGATCACACTAGTAGAATCAATCAGGGATCTGACAATGCTGAAAGGAATATCTGGTTACACAAGCACGTGTATTGAGCTTGCAGCACAGGTGGAGGCTAGAATTTTCTCATACAACTTGTTCCAGAGTGATTGACTGTATGAAACAAATGGAAGAAAAACCTTCCAATGCATGCCTGTGCAGTCTAACTGCTAGCCAGTCAGCATGGCTGCTGCTCCAGAAGAGGATGGGTATGGCTGGCATCCTCTCATGCCTACCTCATTTTAATCACAAAGTTACCTATATTCCATACAAATGTGGTGTCCCCTTACTTCTGTTGTTGAAAATTATTCACCAGAAATAAAGCATCATGAAACTAAGGTTGTAGAAAGTTACTGATGCTAAGGGAATGAATCTCTCAGCATTTAAGTTTTCCTGCATGAATAATTTTTGTCTTTTTATCGCAAAAAGTCTCATGTTTGGGCCTTGGCAGGTTGAGGAGTATGGTGGATGGGAGTTATACAGAGTTATTCCAAGTGCTGATGTGACTGCTTCAACAAGTGGCATAAAGGAGATTTTGTTGGATGTGTACACTACTTTGAGTTTTTTGTAACATGAAAATTACAAAACTTTCAGGGAAACTTCGGAGTTTAGCATGTGGAAAAGTACTAGTGTAAGTAGATCCTGTGTTTTAGAATCCTAGGTATGATATTTTTTCACTTGGAGTGAAATTAGACTGTGTTCATTGACCACCTGGATAATCTGATCTCAAAATATAAGGTCCTGCCTTTTCTTCTTGGGCAAGAAGATGGACTGGACAGCTAAACAGGTCTTCAAATTTCTGTGGTTATAGCAAGATGTGGCTCATGAATATAGGCCTTCTTGCTATAATCTTGCTTTCTCTGTTATTTAAACATCCGCATTGCTACTTTTATATATAATTATTTTAAAAGATTGTTTTTTGGTTCGTTTTTTTATCCAAACATTCAAGAAACAAACGTTTTTAAAATATATAAAAGTCACAGTACAAATATTTAAGAACTATATAGACATTTTTACCTAAATAATAAACATTTTAGAAGAAGTATGGAAAGTGCAATGGAGACACTTTAATAGAACTGAGACAGCAAAATTACATTGAGATAATAAAAACAGATTTACAGTCAATCAATTCAGAACATGAAAAGTATTCTCTTCTGCTCCTCCTGCATTGCACAAAGAATATGCACAAAATACAAAATCATATGTTCCATTTGTAAGGATCTGTGCAATAATACATGTTACTATAGTACAAAAACAGAAATAAAATTACACCTATCCTAGCTTATAAACCAATGCATGTAGCATACTGTATTTGTTCTATGTCAGTTTTATGTTCATTGCTACAGAACAACTGCTTGGTTTCCCTCCCCTTTACATTCATGATACAAACATGTTTGTAATGGGTTTGAAATGGGTTCTATATTTCATTTCAACAATGCAGCCTAGTTCCAAACCTCTACATTGTTTGTTTTTAAAGGCATATATTAATATTCCATATTGGCTTTAATGGGCAAATAACTAACCTATTGGAACCTTGCTAACCCGTCCCGTTGGAATGACAGTTGTCATTGGAATGGCAATCTTGGCCAGTGGATAGGGCATTTAGGAATCAAGAGACCTATATTCTGTTTCTACTTCTGATACTGGCTTCTCTTTGTGACTTTGAGCAAAGTTGGATGGCTAAAGTTAGGCACCCAAATCAGCATCTCTGAATATTGGGCTGGTATTAGTTGCTTAAATATCGATTAGGGCACCTGATTTAATTGCAAATTTTGCCCTTCACAACTCAGAGTAATACTCTTACTTTGGTAAAGAAATTTTAGATCCACTTTCTGTAAAACAACTTATATTAATGTTAGGTGTATGTATTAATATTATTGACTCTAGATTTTCAACCTGAATTCTTATGCTCATCAATTAAGACACCAGAAAATTCTCTGTACTCTTAACAAATTCACCTCCCACACAATATTAGACCCCGTATTTTAGTATCACATAAAACATAGTTCTTCCTTCTGTTTTTTCCCCTGAGAGGAACTTTGCTGTTTTTTTCCAGTCTTTCATATTTTCCAAATATGTTTTTCACACCATAAAGAAAAGCAATTATCATTTTTATAATAAACTGATGCTTTGTGGCTATGAAAAACTCCAATCTCTGATAATTTAGAATTTTAATTTCATCTCACCCTAGAGATGCAGTATTGATGAAATTGTGTCAGAGCGAGGCAGCAGGACTCCTCTCTGAAATCTCTTGTGGATTAACACTAGATTGGTATTTCCAGCTTTATTGATTTTCATAGCAGAAGTTAAAAAATGTTTTAAGGAGAATGGGTCGTGTTGGCTGTGCTCTTTGTCCCTTTCTCATACATAAATTCTGATACAATGGTCAACTAGTAGTGTCCTTATGGGTGGCAGAAACTTGATGGTTCTACTGGGACAATTTGCAGTCCTGCTCATTGTGCTTGTAAGTGAAGAGTATGATGTTTGAAGAAGTGTTTACTGTTGTCAGAGACAACAGAGCCACTCCCCACAAATAATGGTATATGCAGTGAAGGAAATGTTCTCAATTGGGACAGCTGGGTTGGGCTGAAGGCTGGTGGTGGGATGTGTGGCTGGGTGCCTAGGACACCCAGTGAGCTTGGATGTGTGTTGGAGTGCCTGGTGCAGCAAGGAACAGACTGGGGGTAGTTTCTTGGGCTTCATTATTTCCCTGCCATATGTTGCTGTCTTCTGTATGTACCTAGACACTTGCATGGCCCCCTCCTCACAGTAAGTGAGCACCTGCTCCCTGTGCTCATCAGCTGCTCTTCTGGTTGCCACCCTGCAGGGGGAGCAGGAGTGGCCTTCAGAGAAGGTGCAGCAACCCCCATTGCCCAGAAGAGGAACTGTAAGGAAATCCCTGCTGGATATGGGATATTCCAACAAAGGGGATTGGGAATCCATGAAAGGGGGCTTCAGGCATGAATGTGATGCCAGAGGTATGCCCCTTAGCTGCCATGACGTCCGCTTTCGTCAGTTCTACATCAGTAATATAATAGAAAACACTCACTCTAAACAGGAGCACCACCAGCTTTTCTGCCGCCCTAGGCAGCGGAAGGTCCCGCCCTGAAATGCTGCCCCCCACAGAGGCGGCAGAAGGTCCCACTGCCAAAATACCGCCGCGGTCGCCGCCCCCCAAATTGTAGCACCCTAGGCGACCGCCTAGGTCACCTAATGGGTTGCGCCGGCCCTGACTCTAAAGAAACAAGCCACAGCCCTGGGCAATGACAATTTCAGTAAATTTTACATTAATAAGATGGCCTGATAATTCCATTTCATGTGTAATCACCGTGGTTACTTTTAAAATCTGAGGTTTTTTAACTTTGATTAAGCTTTTGTTTTATTTCATTGTCTCTTCTCCCTAGGACGGGTCACTGGGTAACATCGATGACCTGGCACAGCAGTATGCAGATTACTATAACACCTGTTTTACTGATGTGTGTGAGAGGATGGAGGAGCTGCGCAAACGGAGGGTTTCTCAAGACCTTGATATGGTAAGTGGAGTAGCTACATCTTTCCATCTCAGGCCTTTCTTGCATACACTATGGATGGAATACTCAGCATTCTAGCTCAGGGAAATAGGGCTGAGAGCGCACATGTGTGCCCACAGAATAACACTTCCAAGCTGATGGTCTTAATTATTTTTGTGGGAAATACTGAGGTTGGTCTATTGATATGATTCATTAGGTTGCAGATTGCGTTAGCTTATTGTATCTTTTTGCTTACACAAAGTTCCTTACAGAAGTTGACTGAGATGGAAGAAAATGCTTGCTTTAATATGAGAGAAATTAGTTAGTTCTTTGCTCAAGGATGTTTCCAATATGGTTATTAGGAAATACACCTTTGTTCCTAAACCTCATATTATATAATTTTAAAACATAGCTTCTCACAACTGTAAAATGTTGTCTTTTATTCAGGTCTCCCAAACTGAAGCAGTCTGTACACAGATACTGATCCTGCATTAGGATACACTAGGGTCCCAGAGAAGTTAGTCTGCCTCCTCAGAAGCATATAGTTCCACAGTAGCTGAAATGGATGTAGGCATGGACCACAGTTGTCAGTCCTTTTTTTTTTTTTTCGGTAAAGAAAATCTTTTTCTCAAAAGAGCCCGTTCTAAAATCTTAAGTGAGATTCTTTCATTGTTTGGCAATTGCTAATTGTTTCCTCCTTGCTTTTGTTTACATTATTTAGCCTGATTGCTGAACAAATATCTGTGTAGAATGTACACTAAATATTATTACTTACAATACTTTTTTCATCATAAATTTTTTTTTATTGGTTTTCAGAGTATCAGTAAGAATCCTTGTAATGTATAGAAACATATTCAGGTCTTAAAATTTCACAGAATGCTGGGATTACTTCAGTAATATTTCTTAAACTTGGACCTTGGCTTTTTTAATTTTGTCATGATGATAATGTTTGAGTACTAAATGTAGGAACCAATAAACCAAAGTAGTTAGCAAAGACACAGAGCTTACATACCATGAACAGTGAAGTCAATCACTGTTAGTTCATAAGAGCTGTGACATGTTATAGTACATATCAAAGACATAGGAGTATATGCTGTCACATTAATACTTTACACCTCTCTAGTGCCATCTACCCAGAGATCTCAAAGGGCCTTTCAGACAAAACTATGAGATGGAGCATCCCTAGTTTATACAGGTAAACTGAGGCACGGATGACTTTCCTATTGATTCACAAGCCTGTGGCAAAGCCAAGAATAGACTCAGATCACTTGACTCTCACTCCTGTACTTTCACTGCAAGCACTCCTCCTCCTCCATTCACCCCTTCAGATACGTCCAATATTGTGAAAGGTCTAACATGCAGAGGAGCTTGTGAGCCTCCTGAATTTGGTTTGTAGACTTTTGGATTCATGTATTTACTGTCTTAATATCACAGAGAAGCAGAATACTCCCATCTTTCCCTTACTCGCCCCCCCCCCCACCTGATCCATAGCATAGACAGCCAAGTGACTCTGGGAGCAATTAGTGACTTTCTATTGCTGCAGCAGTTGTGGTTTATGAGATGGACCACATGGCTGCTTTCTTTCTTTGAGTCCAGCAGCCCTGCCACATAAAAAAACTCTCATTGACTTCAGTGGGAGTTGTGCAAATGGAAGAGCTTCAGAATCAGGCCGTAAGAAAATAATCTCCTGTGCTCAATTGAAGTTAGTTAATCCCTCTCCATTTATTTTTTTAAATGGAAACAATATTTCATTTTTAGCAGGATTACCATGGTGTAACAAATTAAACACTGTGAAGAAAAAGCTTTCATGCTATAGTTTTGAATGTTTAAGATTTGCATGCAACTCTATTGCAGGGGGCTCCGTATGGAACATTCCACAGTGTGCGGACAGCTGAGCCTTCTGCATGAATAAGTGACTGGAACAGTTTAGTGGTTCAATCTAATCCCGAGATACCCATGCTGTCTTCCAAACTGCATACAGTGACTATTCCAGATAAGCTTTGGCAGTTATAAAATCTCCTTCCTGGCGCTCAGGAATTTTGGAAGGCAGCTTCTGTGCTGGGTAACGAAGCATGCGTTACAACTGGAGAGAACTCCCTTCCATTTAGACAGATGGGCCTAATTTGGCTCTCTTCATTCCAGAGCTCCAGAAAGCAGTCTGGGGAAAGCCATACGAGCTTAATTAGCTCACATCAAAGATGCAGAACTTCGTGGTGGGTTAAAAAGATATGAGCTAATGCAAGTCAGATCTGTGAGTGATTTCACCGGCTACTGCTTTCAAAGGGAAGTTAGTCTGAAAAGTGGCTGTGTGAAAATGGCATCTTGGGGTATATTTTTCAGTGGCTTCTGCATCAAATGTGCTCAGTTTATAAATCAAAAAGATAATTTTTTTTGAACTGCCAGCTCTACAAGCTATGTAGAGAGAGCCTTGTGGTTGAAAATCAAATTAATGTTGTTACATCCATTCTCAGTACAATGAGAAAGTTTTGGGGACATCAGCTAGCCATTCTGTTGATAATGCACTCTTCCACATATTATGTGCTATGTTATCCCAGCAGTGCTGACAGCAGCAAAAATTTTGTTATTGCAAACTTTACTTGGAAGGTACATGAGGAGCAGGTGGTGGACCTGTCGTCAGTAATACATTGTTGATTTAATAGATTAATCTACAACTCTGCTTTAACTGGGAGTTGATTTAAATTGAAGAGCAGGTGACAGTGGCTTGAGGAGCACCCAGAAAATAGGAGAAATATTGTCCCATTCATTTTTGTCTCAGATTTTAACCTCAACTTGCTGTTGAATTTTCTTTTAGGGCTGTTTTAGCCTGCCTCTGTACTACAAAAGGTATTATTATTAAGTAGGGGGTTGCACATGTCATAACCTGTGTAGGCCAAGCTTAATGTAAGTTGTTGTTAATGTATGTTCCAGAAGCACCCAAAGGCTCCTATAAGGACTGGGACCTCACTGTGCTGGGTGTTTTGTAAATGCAGATAATCTGTCGCAGTGATCTTGCATCTAAAAGACAAAGGGTGAGGATGGAGATCTAACATACAGGTAAATGAAGATGGCAGTGATTGGCACAGTTTTTTTAGTTATATATAGATCTTAGTGACTTGTTCAGATATATGGAGATATACCTATCTCATAGAACTGGAAGGGACCCTGAAAGGTCATCAAGTCCAGCCCCTTGCCTTCACTAGCAAGGACCAAGTACTGATTTTGCCCCCGATCCCGAAGTGCCCCCCTCAAGGATTGAGCTCACAACCCTGGGTTTAGCAGGCCAATGCTCAAACCACTGAGCTATCCCTCCTCCCAATGATGAAAGTCATTGTCCTTTGAAGTCCAGTCATTGAAGGGAAGAAATCCAAAAGGATGGACTCTTTACTGGTGCTACCCTATATACTGAGAGTTTTAATTTTCTGGGGAGAAAGTTTTGATATCTTAGTTCTCAATTTTGCTCTGTAATCAGCTCTACAACCATGCCTATCAGACCATGTCCATTTTGGTCTGGATGTCCTGCTCCAGGTTGAAACAAAAAGCACTCAGCGAAATTGTTCTGGAGAACAGGATATCTTGCATCAATGGAGCAGGGGCTGCAGATGGATGGAAAGCAGTGTTCTATAAACAAGGATTATGGTTCCAAACTGTAATGTTATCAAGGCTTTTTAGTTGGTCCGTAAACACAATAACTGTATTTTTCATTTGGATTTTTGCCTTTGTTTTTATAATGGTGAATATGCTGGTTTTGGGGGCATTAGTGTTTGTGAACAGCAAGGGAGTTACCCACATTTGCAAACATTTGGCCTGTTCCTGCACACCATGTGTTTTCTTGGCTGGGGAAAACTGCAGTCAGAATAGATAGTGGCTTTTCAAGCCTAAAAGGGATGGATCACTGGTAATATTCAACTGGACATCTGTTAAAATGAAGTTGTGGCCAGAAAAGTGACTCTGTGAAAGTGGCACCTTGTTACTGCTCATATCTGCTTCCTGTGAGTCTTTTGGAGATGTATCCGCTCAGTTTCCTGACATAAACAAGTTTGTAGTGCTGTTAACAGGGCACCGCAGAAATGATATAGCTGTGAAAGAGCATACTGCATTGTGTTGTCTCATCCATCACTGACAATCACCAGCTAAGTTCTGATTCCAGGATTTCTATTGTGGCTGATGATCCGTAAGGCAAAGAAAATACAGCTTGAGATTCAGATAGATTGAGTTTGTGCTTATTTCACTGGCAAATGATAAAAATGTTTGGATTTATAAACTGCTCAAATTAAAGATGGATGTCACTGAGAAGCAATAAATAAGGAACACAAATATGCCACTTTTGTTTTTCCTTTTTAATAATGTCTTATAAATGTTTTCATATGGAAAGAAGAGACCATCCAGTATCTTTTAATATATACATTGTAAATCCACCCTCCTAATCCCTTATGTTCTTAAAGTGTGAGTATTTATACATACATACACAACACACACACACACGTGTACGTATAATGTCAGAAAATACAAATGAACACCAAACAAAACCAAAATCTTTTCTCACCACCAGCACACTTTTTAGGGTATGTAATCTTTGTATGCCACTGTGACTATGTGCATAGTTCTGAAAGGTGCTGGGCAACCAATTATTTGTTCACAAATTCTGTGTGCAGCAAGGAAAAGTGGGGGAAGATGGCACAAATAGGACAATTCATTAGCCTTTCACCTCTGGAGAGATGGATTTAGATCACATGGGAAATGAGATCATCCACTCTCTAGTGAATGTTTGGCCATATCATAGAACTACCATACCGATTGTTGATGAGGTTAATTGAGCTAGTCTTTGCACAAGAGAGACCCAGATTAGAATAGCCATGTTTGTTGAGGGAACTGTGTGTGTTAAAGTGCCTACCTGCATTATTCCCAGTTCTGTTTCTTTCTGCTGTTCACATATACACCGCTACCCCGATATAACGCGACCCGATATAAAACAAATTCGGATATAAAGCGGTAAAGCGGTGCTCCGGGGGGGGTGGGGCTGCGTG